GAGAGTTCCTATTTATGAATGGATATAACACTTTAATTAATATATTTGTTTTTTTAATTATAAATTGGACGTGATCAGAAAAAGTTAATTTTTTGTCTAACAAGACACCAAGATATTTAACATTGTTCTCCCAGTTAATGTCTACTTGGCTTAGATTAATAGGATGTAGAGGAATATAATTATTTTTCCTATTTCTTGTAAAGTATATTGCTTGGGTTTTTTCCCTATGTTTTATCTAATGGGAAATCGAAACGTATCAAATATGAATATGAATATGACATTTTAAAAAGAATTACTTTACATGTAAATAATTCTATTTTTCATGCTACATTATTTATGGAACATTATTTATGTGGAGTTAAGATTAATAAATATAAATTGAAAAGAAAAGAACAAAGGGCAATTTTCAAAGATGCAACGAGTTTATAGCAAATGCATTGTACTGAACACCTCGAATTTTGGAGTGGCTGTAATATTTTTAAATTTCGATTCACTTATATCAATTTATACCAAGTGAAGAATGATGTCTGATATTACTGGAGGTCGTTTGGTGGTCATAAACCGTTAGCTGACCTGATATTTGTTGTCACCTTGCTGGGTGCCGAGCACAATTAGAAAGGAATCTTAAGAGTCTCGCACGTATAAGCAAAACCTAAGCATAAACATGTGGAACTCTCAAGATTTACGTTTGACCAAAAACCTGTATGCTATAAAAGCAAAAGAAAAACAAAACAAATCCAATCCAATCATTAATTTTATTGTGCTGACGATCACTTTTTTGTTAATATCATTATATTAATATGCGATTCTGTATATCCGAAATATAACGAAAAAGTCCATCATTTGAAGTTAGCTGAATTTTATGCATAAATTATAGCCCAATTATGGGTGAATCACGATCAACCAATCGCCAATCGGAAACAGACGCGACAACGTCGGCATCGGCGGCGCGATTGAAGCTGCTCAAAACAATGTGTTAAATGTGTTAAGAGCGAAATTATGTTAACAGATTAACAGCATTCCAAAAGCACGCTGGCCAATCACCACTCACGAATCTTTAACGTAGTCGTGGTCGTGGTCGCAGTCGTCGTCCGACTCGGATCGGAGTCGGGGTCTTCCGCTAGCGAATGGCGAGCGGACGCATCAATAATTGGCACAAGAGAGCGAGACGGCTTAATTCAGTTAACCATCAACTGGGCTAAATATAGCTGCTGGCAGCGTTGGCGGTATAAAAGCTATGCTAATATTGACTTAGCCACCATTCTAGCAGAACAGTAGAGAACGGCAAGATGCGTGCTCTGATAGTACTCTGTCTGGCGGCAACAGTTAGTGCCGCTCGTTTGGGCTACAACTACAGGCCCGGCAGCACGGCCATCGTTACAGATGCCATCGACACTAGTGGTGTAGGATCTCGTCTAATATCTGGCCCAGTATCTGGTCTGGGCGGCCCAGTGCGCTCCAATGTTGCGCCACAGGCCGGCATTCATAAGGAATTCTTTTCGTTCCGTGCCAATGAGGCCGACTTTGAGGATCCCGATGCTGCGCGGAAGATTGCGGCTGCGGTGAAGAAGAGCGTGCGTGTCATCTTCATCAAGGCTCCGGAGAATCGTGGCTACGAGAACGCTGTTCTGGCTCTGGCCAAGCAGGCTGCCGAGCAGCAAACAGCTATTTACTTGCTCCACAGGCAGCCCGACCTCAACGAGCTGGCCAACAAGTTCAATGCCGCGCACCAGAACGCCAATGCCAGGCCCGAAGTGCACTTCGTCAAGTACCGCACCCCCGAGGATGCAGCCAATGCACAGAAGGCTATCCAGAGTCAATACGACTCGCTGGGCGGCACTAGTCAAAATATCAACGGTGGCATCGCAAATGCCCTCAATTTTGCATCGCGCTCCTCTTTGCCTGCACGCGAAGGACGGATCCAGGAGCCCGACAGCAACTACTTGCCATCCTCAATTCTGAATCGTCTGCGCCATAAGAAGTGAACTTAGTCAAATTTTGTAAATAATTAGGAAATGTTGAATATTGATCGAGTTGTTAAATAAAACTATTAGAGCTTGTTTACTTTTTACTTAAAATAACGTTTACTTTTCATGAAGAGACTAAAAGAAGAATGTGATAATGAGAAGGTGAAACAACTTGATTTTGATATGATTGATTTAGGTATTACTAATTTTTGTCGTTTGTTCGTCACGCTTTCGATGTTATGCTAATTCTACAAAGACCAGAGCCCACTGCCATTCATTTATCATATTTCTTAATATGTGCTGGATAAATACCTATATGTATTGTAAAGGCAACCTTCTTATTATTTTCTGTTTTGGAAATAGTATCAATTAAAAAGGTCTAATGATTTATTATTAAGTTTAATTTATTATTTATTCGATATATGTTAAGTAAAGCCTAAATCCCATATATAAGCGCTGAGCGCTTAGCGTTGTGGCTTCAAAAAATTTACAAACAAAATTATTAGTTTTCGTTTGATGGGGCACGACAAGGACCAGATTATTTAGATTTATACTTTTATAAATTAAGGCATATATTGATTTAGTTTATTAATAATATAATTTGGCGCAAAGCATGTATGTATCCATAGACAAATTGTAATGAATAAATAATATATATTTAATATATGTATATAACATATACATATATTGTATAAATAAAGTAAAGCTTTAACACTCATTTGGTTAAACGTGGGGCATGCCCGGCAACTATACGATTCAGTAATCTAGCTGAGCTTCAACTAAATTTTCCTGAGGCTATAGTATGAACAAAATATTTGCAAAGTATTTCAAAGCAACAATTTTGTAATAATAATAATAATAATAATAATTAAATGTGAATTTCTGTATATGATAAGACTTTTACGTTCGAAATAAAATGTAGGAGAGGGAATTTATTTAAGCATTATTCAACAAAAACTAGGTTTAAAAATCAGTCAAAGATCGCTGTCATTATCATTCATATGATCTAAATCTAACTGTAAATTTAGACACGACGGAAAATCGAGGTAGGCAGGTAGGAATTATCGGGCGACTTGGCGTTAACCTGACGCACTGGTCCCTGGGAAGCGAAGTTCAGAACGGGAGCAACACCTCCATTGTGAGCCTGGGAAGAGCCTCCCAATTGATCGTATTGACTTTGAATGGCGCGCTGTGCGTTGGCGGCATCCTCAGGAGTGCGGTACTTGACGAAGTGCACCTCGGGCTTGTTGTTGGTGTTGCTGCGGATGGCATTCAGTTTGTTGGCCAGATCTCCGATATCGGCCTGCTTGTTCAGAACATAGATGGCGGTCTCCTGCTGGGCGGCCTGCTTAGCCAGAGCCAGAGCAGCGTTCTCCAGACCACGGTTCTCGGGTCCCTTGATGAAGACAACACGCAGAGCTTTGTTCAGAGAGCTGGAAACCTTCTCCAGAGCTTGTGGCTCATCGAAATCTTGTTCGTTGGCGGTGTAGGTGAAGAACTCCTTCTGCAATTCAGNAAATCAGTCAAAGATCGCTGTCATTATCATTCATATGATCTAAATCTAACTGTAAATTTAGACACGACGGAAAATCGAGGTAGGCAGGTAGGAATTATCGGGCGACTTGGCGTTAACCTGACGCACTGGTCCCTGGGAAGCGAAGTTCAGAACGGGAGCAACACCTCCATTGTGAGCCTGGGAAGAGCCTCCCAATTGATCGTATTGACTTTGAATGGCGCGCTGTGCGTTGGCGGCATCCTCAGGAGTGCGGTACTTGACGAAGTGCACCTCGGGCTTGTTGTTGTTGTTGCTGCGGATGGCATTCAGTTTGTTGGCCAGATCTCCGATATCGGCCTGCTTGTTCAGAACATAGATGGCGGTCTCCTGCTGGGCGGCCTGCTTAGCCAGAGCCAGAGCAGCGTTCTCCAGACCACGGTTCTCGGGTCCCTTGATGAAGACAACACGTAGAGCTTTGTTCAATGAGCTGGAAACCTTCTCCAGAGCTTGTGGCTCATCGAAATCTTGTTCGTTGGCGGTGTAAGTGAAGAACTCCTTCTGCAATTCAGCAGCTGGGGCAGGGGCATTGTACGAGACTGGAGCCTCTAAGTTTCCGCCACCGAGGTTACCGCCGGAGATACCACCGAGGTTACCATTGGAGATACCACCGAGGTTGCCGCCGGAGATACCACCGAGGTTACCGCCGGAGATACCACCAAGGTTGCCTCCAGAGATACCACCAAGGTTGCCTCCGGAGATACCACCAAGGTTGCCTCCGGAGATACCACCTAGGTTATTGCTTGAGAGACCAGTGAGACTTCCACCACCACCTCCATTGCTGCCACCACCAGGGCCGAAGGACAGGCCGGAATCGGAGTGTCCCACTGGCTGATAGTTATAGCCCAGCTTGTCGGCGTAGGCAACTGCCACAAGGCACATAACCTGCACGCAGAAAACATGATTGAGGTAATCCTAAATGCGACTCGTGCTCAGCTCCTGGATACTTACAATGAATACACGCATCTCGAGTTTTACTGAAGTTCTTTGAGTTTAACTGCTGGGCTGCATCTGACGTTTGGAGCACCATTGCGTCTACTATTTATACGAAAACCACCAAACTGTGTCACTCGACTGCGCTCAAGTTCATGCAGAGACCGAGCCGCGATGGTCGTGGCTGCTGCCTCAGCTGCTGCGGTTGTGGCTGACGCCGATTAGTTGTTGTTATTGTAGTTGATAAATCAGCATCTGCTGTCCCTCTCGATGCTCGACGCTCGATGCTCGAAGTATTTAGCATGAACTTCTTTTGCTGCTTTTGTCTACTGATTGAACAGCGAGCCCTGAAATACGAGCCAAGCCGATAAAAACAATGCCAGCAATGTCAACGTCGCCGCGCACCTCTACCAGGCCTATTCTTGCCAATAACGCAGTCTGCACTATGCAAATGAGGTACAGCCCTTGCTCAAGAGCAAGTCGCATTGGTAAACCACCTGGGGTCTATGATCGGCCAGGCTCAGCGGCAGTATTGGCATTGCTATTAACAAAACGAGTTTAGTTAATATGGTATGTTTCATTATGATTTTAATAAAAGAAATTATTTTCTTCATACATATTTGTATGCAAAAAATGTGGAATGGCGTCGATCGATGTTGATACCCAGCTTGGATCGGATTGGCGGCGCATCAAAACAAGTTAGAGGTGATTTTTAAAATTCCCAGTCGGGTAAGTAAATATTTTGAGATAGTCTGGTGCGACGATTTCTAGTGTGGAAATTCCCAATCGTTTATGGTGGCTGGTTTTGGCATGAATTTGAATCTTTGCAGTAATATTTGGCGAGGGTCCCCTAAAATCTATCGAGTTACAATCAAAGGAATGTGTGTGGAAAATAAAACAATGGCCTCACCAATGCTCAGACCCACAAACTGAAATAAATATTCGAATGAATCTTTTGAGCTTTTTTGCGCATCCGTTTAGCCCTCAAAGTTGTTTGTCATTTGCTGTTTGCTCTTTGCCGTTTGCCTTATAGGCAATTGGCCAAAATATAAGCCATAAAGCTAACAAGCGTTGCGACCTTGACGTTTTAACTGTTCGCCACCTGAAGCTGTGCGACCGTAATCAGCTGGCGCCAGGCGACGACCATTTAATCTGATCAGCGATTATCACGTTTTCATCATGCTTTATTGATATCATAAAAATGATTGTTTTTGACTCTTTGAGCCCTGCTATAGATAAATAAATGCCAACAACATATTTGAAATTGAATCCATTTGCATAATAAAATGTTTTCAGCATTAAAATTCGAAAGATCCATAACTAAGATAACTGAATAGATTTGCAAATCATCGGCGCCTCAAAGATGCATATCAGCGATAACTTTAGCTATGACTAATCATAGCTTGGACTCTAGCATAGCATATATGTATATATAAACGACTTTCGGATATAACGCGTTGGCTAGGCCTGAGATAGCCTAAGCCTCTGTTAATGGAGTGTGTAAATTCTTTTGTGATTCTCATCAATTTCTCTTCCCATTCATGAGTTTGCTAATAGTTTTTTGTCTTTGACCACATTGGAGAAGTTGTCAATCAGGCCCCCGAGGCGAAGCCACAGCCTAAACCTAAAAATAATTTGTCTTTCTTTTGTTTATGGCTCCGCCCAGACCTCTGAGCCGTGCAGCCAGCTGCTCTGCTGCTGCGCTGCTCTCAGATGGTATGCTCGGTATTTCGGTTGATGCTGATTCGGCCTGCCACCGCCTAGCGCTGGTGGCAATGCCATATGCAAACTAAACAAATGTAAGCATATTAAAATAAACCAGCTACAATTTCAAGGTCTCGGGCGCCACACGCTCATAAAAGATGCACGCAGCCCCAACATAAAAACTAAGACACATAACAAAAGTTAAAAAGAAGAGAAAAACATAAACATAATAAAAAGCAGCAGAGGGCGCCTCACGCACAATAACAACAACAATTGGTAATAGCAGTTGGACAACTTCGCAGCATCAATAAATGAATAAAATGTGGCCTAGTCCGGGACGGAGCTGACAGAAGCGTTTTATATTAATGTCCCACAGGCCAGACGGGCTAATAGATCTATTTTATCGAAGCGCTTATCAAGCCTTCAACTGCGAGAGCACAGCCAGCCGCGAATAATAATCAATGAAAAATGCATAAGTATTTTTTCGTAGACATTTATTGAATGCCATTTGAGCAGCGGCATCTGAAGCCTTCGTTTTTTTTTTTTTTTTTTTCATATTAGTGAAAATCTTAATTACCACCATGCTATAAATTGGAGCATTAGTGGCTTCTCTAAATTCTCGAGTTTATCTAAAAAAATTGCAAATCTTCTGTCATTAGTTGCCGCCAGTTTAACGAGTTTGTTTAGTTCTTTCTTCGAATTTGCATAAATGTTTGAGCTGCCGCCAGCTAAGGACTTCTTTCGAGAACGTTTCCGCATGCCAAAGAAAAAAAAAAAAAAAAAAAAAAAAAAAACAATGTATTAAACAACATCAAAGTGGACTTAAACAAATGCAAATTTTGCCAAGCTTGGCTCGCAAATAAATTATGGCAATTATTGCAGACCACAAAAAAATAAAATCCCCACAAGAAAAAAACAAGAAGTTAAGCTCATAAAAGATCAAATTTTAATAACTCGTCACCTATAAAGAAGAAACATCAAATCAAATTATTGGCAATTTACATATCTTTGGCCAATTTATTCGTCAATTTGCCATAACGGTCGAAGTATTTTGTGTAAACAATCAAGTATCGACGACAACACCAGCTGATGGCTGGGCAAATATTTATCAAATAGATGAGTATAAAATGAATGAGACTGGGGCAAGTGCTAACAAATATTTTATTGCCATAAATCAGGCATAAAAATTCACAAACAATTGATGCATGTGCAACTAATCAAACTCTGCATACGGCGTAATAACCAACTGAAGCACCTCCAGGTAAAAAAGCACCAAATGGCTGCGCATAAATACGCAGCTTGCTGTGAGTGTCCCCGCGCCCACAAGTAGGCAATAACTTATTTTTGTTGCCTGCTTGAGGACACAGTCTTGGGCATAATCGCGTCTAAGAACATCTTGGCAGTTAGTATGGGGTCCACGCCATGTTTAGCTGTCACATGTGGGCTGCTTTTTATTTTAATTGCGAACATGCCTACACATATTGCCCACGCATAATGTCCTCGTGGTGCTATTCATGAAGCGGCGGCCCTTTCAAACTCATTTGCGCGTAAGGATTGTAGCCATACAGCACTTTCCAAGTGCTGTCAGAGCCACTGCCAGCAGCACCACCACCACCAGCACCACCACCACCAACAACAACAACAAATGTGTAATGACAACAACAACATTGACAAGCAGCCAGCGACTTTTGCATGTGCAAATTGTCGTTTAATTTATTAAGCAGCGAATACGACGGCTTTTAATATAAACATACAAAACATTAATTACACACTTACACACCCGCACACAAAGTTGTGCAAATGTTCTGTAATTAGAAAATAAAGCACCCATTCGCAAACACCCACACACTCATACACATACACATGCGCGTAAGCGTGAGCGCACTGTCATAAATTTGGACCACAGGGCCTAGGCTTCATGAGAGATCTCCACAGTGGAGTGAGCGTAGTGACGATAAAAACAAAACAACATGGCACAACTAATCTCCCAGCGGAGAGCATCGGGTAAGGCTGCTGGCTGCATTTGGCCGTTGGCCTCAGGTTGAAAAACGGGTTGGCAAGCTAGACAACTTTTGGTTTCGACTATCACCTGGTTTGTTGGCCTTTTCGAGGCGCGCACACCCGCTATGAATTTTATGGCCAGATTGAACTTGAAGCTGGGGCCACAGCTGATTTGCATTTCTAATGAATTCAATGCATTGGAAAAGCTACAGGCCAATCGACAGCACTTTGGCACTTTAAGAGTACAAGTTTTGAGAGAATGGTTTTATGTTAAACAAAATACATACAAAATACTGAAAGTGCACGGAAGTATATACTAAAATACCAAGTCAACTGGAATTTATAGCAAATACATAAATCACACAAATTATTGCCTAACTAATAAACTACAATTTTTAAGTTTATTTTAAATATTTTTATATATACCTTTTCATTTAGAAATCACATTATAACTAATTTCAATAAGTTAATCTCTAATGAAATTAGTTGTCACACAGGTTACATTTAATTTATTTACACCTCTTTTATAGCCCGTAAAATGACAATTATAACATTTTTACATATTCAGCAACCGATGATTTGTTGTCATTTGCAGTAGAGATGCGACAAATTAAATTAAATTTCCATTTAAATGAATAAATTGTGAAAATAAATGGTACTGTTGACACTGTTTAGTGTCAGTCTCGCCGCTTGCCGAAAATATAATTGTTGCATTTTATTTACTTGGCCCGAATTATGCTAGATACATAACGAATTCATGCTGGGTCAGCACAATTACCGAGGACCGCCCACGGTGAATTTTCATTGTTTGTCCGTTGACTGAAATACGGATTTTAATCGTGCTCTATCCAGCTCTCTATCTCTCTCTCTCCCTCTCTCACTCTATTTGTTTCTATCTCTTTAAGTGCTTGACAAGTTCTTTGTTTAATGTTTTTTTTTTTTTTTTTTTTTTTTTTTTTTTTTTTTTTTTTTTTTTTTGAATATCTTTGTAGCGTGTTTTGATGCAAGTGAAAGTACACGGTGCGTATACTTGATGCGAGCTAGCTTGTGTCTCTGAAATGGTCGTATTGAGTATTCTCTTTCGGCACTGTTACTTCTGCTCACTATATGGCTCGCCCACAGTTACTGTTTATGCGCCGTACATGACAATGAGCTCAGGATTCATTCGGAAGCCCGACAATATCGCGCTCTGCTCACACTCGTCACGTCTAGAGGCTTTAGGTGAGAGGACCTGCCCGCGCAACCTACTGAGGCGCATATTAAGTGCTGCCATCATATAGTTATATCAAAAGTGACTTTGGCACGTGTGCCGCTCATCCGGCTGCCCGTCCACTTGACATCAGCATCCCACGCCAGACGTTTGATGTGCAGCC